CAGATTTCTTATCAACCATACCAGACATCTGGAATTGTAGAGTGGAAAAAATACCTTGTTTATCTTCATTTGGTGTGCGAGAGGTGTGTGTACGTGTCTTGGTCTAGCGCCTGGCACACACGGATAATAACCACTGGCCGTTTCCTACCATCTTGGTGTTACCCTCATCACCATTTTTAGCTGGTGATGACGTGATCTGTGATATCAGGCCAAAGACTAACTGATGCGGCCTAAATTGTAATTGTCTTAATCCTTCCAAACGCTAACAAATTGCCAGCCTCAGCCACTGAGAAATCACATTTCTAATACAATAATCCCATCCACAATGAGGATGGAAGAACTGATTGCAGGCCAAGAGATTTTGCAAAGAGAATCAAGTCACTACACAAACTGACCCTGCTGGTTCCTCAATTAAAAGTCTGGTGGAGTGCACTGTAGCTGTTTCATATCATGCTAAGCCTGAGAGGGGAGATTACTGTTCACTTGGTGTGCTGGGAATGTTTTTATAAACTCTAAGACGTTCTGGAAATTTTTAAATGATTATGCTGAAGGAATTTTTCATTACTGATACCATCTCTCAGCTGTTCCTTTATCTAAAATACTTCTAAAATGCATCTAATGAAGCTTTTTCAAATAGGTTCTTGGGAGGAAATTTCAAGTAAAATTCCCTCCTAACTAATAAATAATTTCAATCCAATGTCTATTTCTTCTATCTATAAAGTGTTTCAAGATACCTTTTGGGGGATCTTTAGAATAGAGTTATTTTCCATACCTCTCTTTTGGAGCTAGCAAAATACAGAAATATGTATTTATATCTGCCCAAGTCTAGACTTCCTTGGGCTCTGGCTATTTAGAGCCCACGTTTGGTGTTTTTAACCCCTAGGACACATTCCTTTCTTTTATCTTGTGATTCCTGGCCACCCTTCGCAGGATGTCTGGCTAATCTTGCTGATATTTCTGGGACATAAATGGACTCAGAATATGTGACTGTAAAGAAAAAAAAAAAAAGGCAGAAACACAGTTCTGGACTTTTTCTACATAAAAGAAGATTTTCTTCTATTGATATGGAAATGAACAGATGTCTGATAACCTGCTGCCAACCTGGAGCACTGCTTCCTACTCAGGGGAATTTCTTCGGGCTGACGTTTCCTAGGGCTTACACCATCAATTCAGAAGTTCTGTCAGAAATACCAGAATGACCTAGGCTAGCTAAAAAATGAGACATTTGTTCCTTGGCCTCTATTTCTGGCTTAGTGCCCCAACTCCATAAAACAGGAAGGATACACTCACCACTAGACATGAAATAGTTTTATATGTTCACAATGGAACGTTACAATGGGTAAGAGGACTGTCCTCACCTAAAGTCCCAACACTTCACACATCCACGCTCTTTCGTTTTGTCTGGCCACTTTTACTTACCAGCCCTAGAAATGATATAAACCGAGTAAGCACTTTTTTACTGACTGTGGTAATAAAAGTCAACCAGAATGTTTTACAGTCTGCCACCAGGCACAAATCTCTCCTCACCCAGGGAAGGTGTTATTGGGAAAAAAAAAAAAAAAAATTCAGAGCATCATGATGTGAACTTACAGTTGTCACTTCTACATTTGAGTCTTGATACTGACAACAACAAAATTTTCCTGATGCCATCTACCTCCACTCTCCCTCTCTTTTCCAAGACTCCAATTCCGTCCATGGAACCCTAAATCCATCATCATCCCATCCTCTGGGCTCCATCCACAGCTGTGTCGGCTGCCTCAGCCAACACCATGGCCTCCCACCTGGTTCCATCCAAGTGGGACTGCCTTCTGCTATGAAGCTGTCCTCAGGGGCGCCATAATTCCTGTGAGGGCTCGGAATAAGGTAGAACTCTCAAGCTACCAGACGGAGCCAGTCAACTAATTTAGGGGCCAACGAGTCACCTCACCCTGCCACCCCCCACCCAAGCATCCCAGAGGTAAAATCAGGGGAATTCAGTGGGCTTCCTATCTCCAAATGGGCGTAGCAGGTGCATTCACACAGCAGCATGACATTTGGGAAGTGCCAAATGGAAAGTAGAGCCTGCAATTAGGTCATGTTCTATAAGAAAAGTCTTACAGAACCTTCTTTAGCTATCAATTATTGACCCTCATGTCTTTTTCTAAAGAACAAAACATTTTTCAAGCCTTTCTTTAGCTAATTTTATTTATTTATTTGTTTGTTTGTTTGTTTGTTTGTTTATTTGGTAATGAATCTCACTATGCAGCAGGGACTCGAAGTGATCCTCCTGTCTCAGCTTCCCCAGTGCTGGGATTACAGGTGTGTGCCACCATGCCCAATTTTGGCAGCCGGTTTGGCGTAGGGCCGGCTCAGCGTGTGGTGATTGAACCCAGGTCCTTGCACTTGTCAGGCAGGCGCTTAGATACCCGAGCTATCTCCCCATGACAAGGTAAAAGTTTGAATATTTTTTTCTACTGGGATATGAAAAGAAAAGTTAAAATACACAAAGAAAAAGTGACTTTACCCAATGTCACAAATACATCAATAGCACAGAAAGAACCAAAACCAAATCTATCCTAAAATAATCGGGTTCCTGAACAGACTATTTTGCCTTTGACTTTCAAATGCCTACCTAAGAGACTTAATGCCATCTAGTAGAATTTAATAACTTTGTTGGAAAAAACATTCCCCACCATAGAGTTGAGCATCTTAAGTGAATTACAAGACGATTTTTGCTAATTATCCCTCAAAAACATGTCTTTATCTCCCAGACTCTCGCTCTCCAGGGCAAATTACATGTTGGAATCACAATGACATCTTTTGTTCTAATGAAACTTAACTCCTTCAATGCCTGAGAGCTAACGAAGTCCACTCTTTGCTCATAAATCCTGCACCAGGAAGAAGAAAGGCCTCATGTCCCAGTCACGAGGCCCACCACCCACCGTGCATATGAGAACTGGCATCCCTTAGTTTAAATGTTGCAAATATTAAAGGTACAATGGCAACTGTAGCTAATTACAGGGTATAAGTATATACACACCCTCCTAAAATTCTTGTTCCCCAAATCATGCAGATTGGTAGCCAAACCTGGGGCCCCACATCTCCTGACTAACAGTGGGCTCATCCAAAGCGCCTGTGACTCCTGGATAAGTCCTGAGGTGCTCCCCATATAAAATTCAGGCAACTGTAGTGTGACACACAAGTATGCACTTACAATGACTCCAGTGTTTGTCCCCATGACTGGCAGCTCTGCTCTAGATGTCCCTGGATCACTGTGAGTCAGGAAACAGCCCAAGGATTGGGACAGCCCAAGGATTGGGACAGGAGTGCTGTGCTCTAACAATCCAATGGGTTCCCCAGCATCACTTTTATTTCACCATGCAAATAAAACCAACAGTACTGAGCGGCCTCCTATACATACTGTACATGAATTTTGGGCAGCTTCAACAAAAACCAAAATGTAGTTAGCCACGTGACCTCATAAATCATGCCGATGGAGTTAAGCTGCAACATTTGCTGCTGCTTCCTGCAGATTTTCCTCCCCCTCTTCTATTTCAATGAAAGGAGTCTGTTTTGTTTTACTTTTGTACATGAGAAGCACTCAACAACATAACCTATTATAATAGGTTCTCAAGAACACTCAAAAGTAATTTGTTAGGCCACAACTTATCAGGATAGCCAAATACCAGATATTACCTATCTTTAAGAACAGAAGTCCCTTCAAATTTTTATCAGATGGTCCGGTCTCATTATGCAACCCCATGGCCCCATACTCGTCCTTCTTCATGCCCCTCAGTGCCAATGTGAATAAATTATAAACAGCATTTTGTGATTTGAGTCTATATACCTCAGAAGAACATAAGCTCTCTGACCAGATGGATGTACCTGTTATCTTCCAAGCTGTACCTGATGCAGTCACTTAAATGGAGTAGGAAATCAATGAATACTGATGAATAATCGAAACAGCAAATAAATCTGCGAGTGATGAAGCACTGTTAAATTACAGAGTCTACCGTGCAAGGATAAAATAAGCTTTCAGATTTTCTGAGATTTATTCTTGGGGCATCCTGCAGATTTACTATTCAAGTACAAAAATGGCACTGCTACAACAACCCGCCAGTTAATTATTCGTGAGATAAGTTCTGGATTCATAAAACCAATTCTCCTGGTAGTGATTTCCCACATTTTAAATTTTACACCGGTCTGTGGGTATTTGTTTAACTTAACCTCGTATATAAAAACAGCATCGTGTGTGTTTGGGTAAGCAGAGAAGGCAAGCAGATGCAGTTATTCCTAAATCCCACTATTGAAAATCACAATATCTCATTTCAAAAATTACAGAAATATCAACCAGAAAATGCCACTGAACAAAGTGTCAGAAACCTCCACTGCACTCTTCTGTTTTCTTGGTATTTCTCTCTAACCGCTGATAAAAACTCTTTGAAGTGGAAGAGTAAATATTATCATTCGATAGTACTTGGACCCAACAGTGCAAATAGGATTGCATTGTCGTGCACTCTGGGGGCTCCCGGCCGGCCGGGCACACGACGCGGGGCAGGGTTGCTATGGAAGACCAACGTGCTGCATGCGGACCGAGCCAGAAAATAGCAGGGCAGGAGAGCTCCGCCTAATCCTCCTCCGCCAGACACAGTACCTTAAGGGGGCAATGCTGGCTCTCCAGTGTGCATCTCTGCTTCTGTAATAAGCAACGGGAAACGCCAACTCCCAACTCCCAGCTTGCTGTGACTGCCCCCATTGACATTCTAAAGGATCACAGATGGGGGTGGGGGAGGCTAACGAGCAACCCACGTCCCCAGTGGCGGGACAGAAGGATGAGCCACCTGGGGGCGTCCCTGGAGAACCCAGAGCCTAAAGCTTTGGGCACTGTCCCTCTGGGGCCTCGCGAGGGACCCGGGCCGGCTGGCCGCCGAGCAGGATCCCCGGAGTGTGCGACAGCCCCGCGTGGACAGGACTCCTCAGCGCCCCAGGGCACCCGCCCACCGTCCCGGCCTGGCACTCACCTTGCCGGGAAAGGGCCCCGGGATGAGCAGCTTAAGGGCTTGCCTCTTCAGCTCCACCAGGCGGGCGTTGCAGTTCTCGCACCAGACGCCGCGGTCGGAGCCGGGGGAGGAGCCGCCGCCGCTCCCGGACCCCGGGGAGCCCGTGCCAAAGCCCGGCGAGCCGCCCAGAGAGCCCGGCGAACTGGTGCCAATGCCCGGGGACGCGGGCCCGGGGGAGCCGGTGAAGGAACTGGGGGACGAGGTGCCCGAGCCAGGGGACGGGGTCCCCGACGAGCCGAGAGCCGAGCCTGCGCCCTCCGGGGTGGGCCGGCTGCCCGCGCGCGACTCCTCGTACGCTTTCCGATACCAGCTTTCCGGGGAGAAAGGAGCCGCAGGGTTGGTGGGCGAGCAGCCTTCGTTCACCTGCAGGGAGACACGCGGTGGCAGCGCGGCGGGACTCTGAGCCCCCGAGCTGCGGCGGGCAGGGGGCGCCATCCCAACCAAGGATCTGCGGGCGCCGGCTCTCGCCTACGCCAAACCCCGCGCCTCCATCCTTGCATCGGTCTCAGTAATGGTCCTGAAGTGAGGCCCCACCGACGAGTGACCCGTTCACCAGCCGACGAGTCCTCGGAACAGGAGATGGGCTTGCTGGGGATCGGCTAGGGACCAGCTGGAGAGGGTGTGGACGGTTCGTCAAAGCGAACCCATCCGTCCAGCGCCCCGCGCTTTCGAACCCAGCACGCACCCTAGCAGGAGCCCAGGTCCCAGATCCTGAAACACCTACCCGTGGGGGGGGGGCGGGGGGGTTGTGCTTTCTGGGTTTTTTTTTTTTTTTTAATTCATTCAGGGTACAGCCCCTCAGACGCTGCAAGTAAACCAAAGGACCTTCCTGCTCCAAGGAAACGATCTAGGAACCGCAAGGCATTCGTGGGAAACCCTCCCTCCGGCTTAACTGCCTAGAAGTCCAGGAATAGGGCAAAAGTTAGGCATGCAGAGAAAGCAAGGAACGAAAGGCCGGGAAGCCTCCGAGAGTCGGGCGGCACGCTGGTCCCGGCGGCGGACTCGCCTCTGCGCACGCACTGCCGCGCCGGGAGCCTCCGCGCCAGCCGCCGAGCGCTGGCCGTGCGTGCTGGAAGGGGAGCCCCACGCCCAGTGGCCCTGGTAACGCGTCTCCGCTTTTGTGCCCGTCACAACTTACCCCGTATTTCTTGCCTCTGCTGGAGACCGCAAGCCTCTCTTTAGTCCCAGCTACTGAATTCATGGTGCCTTTTGCAGAGGAGAGCGTCTAAATGTCTCGCCAACGCTACATCCAAAAGGTCTGCCAACCCAGAAGGGTCCCCTCCCCTCCCCCGTTGCAGGGGGGCTGTCCCTGGGCCCTCAACTTAAGATTTTCTAATTGGGGGTTCGGGAGAATCAAAGCAGATGGACCCAGAAGTAATAGCACCAATTTGCAGAAAGGGTTGGAGTAGCTGGTTTATTCTTCTCTCCAAATAATGATTTTCTTCATCCTCTCCTTCCTCATGCAGGCACGCGTTCTCTTTCACGGTCACGTCCAGATCACCGGCATCGCCCTCAGCCAAGTCAGTCCGTTCTCCTCCGCCGGGAGCCCCAGGGGCCGACCGGGCGCAGGGCGGCCGCGGGAGATGGGCGAGCCCTGGCCGCGCCGCGCCTCCGTCTGCGCTGCCGGCGGTGGGAACTTGCTTCCTTCACCGCGCTCGCGGAGTTCAAAGAAATTCTCCCAAAATATAAAGATCCAGACTCGGGGAGGAGCCTCGGCGTGTCGCCGAGCCAATATGCGCCGGCCCGTTTCGCCTGACAGTTGCGCTAAGGCAGGGAGCGGGGCGGCCCTGCGTGGCCCGTGGCGCGGTCAGCGCGCGCTCGTGCGCCCGGGTGCAGCTCGCAACCTCGGGAGCCGCGGCCGCGCCTCGGTGGAGCCC